CTGCGCGAAGCGTCCAGGCGCTTCCCCGGCGAGCTCCCCGCTCGCCCGGAGCGATGCGGGGGTTCCCCGCGGTCCTGCCGGGTGTGGGCTCGGGCCGCTCTGACGTCAGTGCCGCGGTGCCCGGAGGTGACAGCGAGGGCTGGCCACGGACAGGGGTGAAAGTGCCGTGATTTGAGACCAAAGTACAAAACTTGGGCCACTGACTCCCAAAAGATAAAAAACAAAACAAACCAGCCCCACCTTCCTTGGAAATACATATACGTTTCAAGAGAAAAGAGCGCTTTTCTTATTTTTTTTTTCCCTGCTGGAGACAGAGATAAATCTTGGTTATAGAAGTCTTCAAGGACTATAATAATACGTCTTTTCTAACTTCTTGTGTTGCAGGTTGAAGCTTGCCTTGCAGTCACTGCTGCAGATGTGTGACACGTGCTGTTGCACAGCCATGTCTTAACTGCAGAGTCTTCGTTTCGATGTCCCCTTCTGATTGTGGTAGGATATAGCTAGGGAAGTATTTGATCATGCCTCACCACCTGAGATAGGTAAACAGAATGCAATATATTTTAAGCTGTTTGGCTGTTTTGGTTTGGTTGGTTTTTGTTGTTTTGTTATTTGTTGTTTTTTTTTTCAGTGAAGTCACAAAAATAAGCATCTTGTTTACTATGTTTTGACTTTTGCAGAGAAAAATAGTTTATCTGCTGTGCTGGCAAGAATTCTGCCCCTTGGGGTGTGTAATGCTTAGATGCTAACTGATGTCTTGCTTCTCTGAGCAGTTTTGTATTTAGGTGGTTTATGTGTGTTATGGTCCTGAAGAATGTCTTCTAAGTAATAGTACATATGAAAATTTATAGTAATCTCACATTGGATTGCATTGATTTTTAAATTGCTCTAAAAGTATGGGGAAAATTACTGTTCTGAAAGTATAGTATGAGTAATAGCGAAAACATTGTCATAAATTCTTCCTCATATACAATACTGAAAATGAAAGAGAAGTGTAGCTTTGTATCCTTTCCAAACAGATGGAGAGTCTGTCAGCACAAATACTGGTAATTGCAATTTAGAGATTAGGGATGGAGGTTTGCTTGGGGGAGTTGTGGCCTCTGTTATTGCAGAGTAGCTGAAGCTGTAGCTGCTGTTGATTGCAGTGAAAGGCCGGGGACTTGAATTTCAGCTTTTTATTTTCTTTTAAATTGTAAGTTCAGTTGACTCATGGTTGTTCAAATGTAATGATTGACACAGCATATTGTACTTCGAATTGCATAACTGGATTGATCAGAGCTGACCAATTTTTTCCAAGCTATGAGTCAAGTGTTGTTTCTGGAGATGATCTTGAGGCCATACACAGTGCTTTCTGGAGTCACGCAGCTCCTTGGGTAAAGAAAGTAGCCTGTACTGTATCCTTGGAAGATGTTTGAGGTCATTTCCACTGGCTGGAATTGGTTGTGACCGCTGTTTGTGTAAATCTGGATTAGGGATTAAAGAAGTTTTATGAAGAACGGTATTTTAAGTTTTTGAAGCAAAGTTTTGTAAAATCGAGAACCTGCACATTTTAAAAGTTGTATCTGAAATGGGAAGGAAAGCAATTTACTGCAGAGTTAATGCAAATCCTGTCCAAGAAAGTAAATCACGTGTATATTGGTATATCAAAGTGAGCTCATGGATTACATGCTGTATAGAAAATAACGTAAATGTTGGGGACAATACTGAAAAATGTAAATTTTCCTTTTTTTTTTAACAGCTACGGAGAAGGGATATTCTAGAAAAGTGAAGTTGGAAGTTCTCTGATCAAGAGAAGCATAAACATGTTGTGCTGGGGAAATGCGTCTTTTGGACAGCTTGGATTGGGTGGAATTGATGAAGAGATTGTTTTAGAACCCAGAAAAAGTGACTTTTTCTTAAATAAAAGAGTCAGAGATGTAGGATGTGGACTGAGACATACTGTTTTTGTCCTGGTTGATGGGACTGTTTATACATGTGGATGCAATGATCTAGGACAACTAGGGCATGAAAAAGCCAGGAAAAGACCCGGTAAGTTTGTAAGTAATGAATTGTGGAGGTTACTTGTGGTTGTGTATGTGGTTTTTGTTTTATTATGCTACATCAAACCCAAGATTGCCAGTTTCTGTGCATGTGCTGAATTCATGCACAGTAGTTCTTCCAAGAATTGGACATATTTTTCACTGGGAAAGCATTCCTTTACTTGGATTGCTTCTTGTGATAGTTGGAAACAACCAACTGTGAAACATGGAAGTCTCTCCTGTTTGTGTCTGCTGTGCAGCTGGACAGTGCCCCTGTTTTTGTTTCTAGCATGGAATCACTTCATTGAAGACTGTGGGAGACTCAGTGGCTGTTCTAAATCTCAAGGGGAGGTGACCTGCTGCAAGACATGGATTAGTATTGTACTATATGTATGGGTTTGGCTACTGAAATACGAGTATTTGACATATCACAGTCAAGAAACTTACTGTGTGTTTTTTTAGTTGTCTAATATGTGATGTAGAGCTGGTCTGATTAACGCAATGTTCTTTTTTTTTAAGAACTAAAAATAAAACTTTTGATAAAAGACGTATCAGCATATGCAGCACTACAGGAAGAGTATTTGGAAAAGACTAAAGGCTGCCACGTGAGACTTCTTAGGGCTTTTTTCTTCTTCCTACCTATGTCCTCTGTGTGTTTCTGCTCCCTGCTAGTGCAGTTCTAGAGCAGAATTGGGTAAACATCTTGCAGGGACTGCAGAGGAGTGTGCACATGGGCTCTCTCCAGAGCTTGCTTGTGAGTCATAGCTGGTGCTGCTGAGAGCCAGGGAACAGTGCTGCTCACACTACTCACAGCAGAACATAACAAACTGGAAAGGCTTAGTAAGAGTTTATTCTAATCACTCCTATAGCAATTTTACAGCTTGCTTGGCTCAATAATTGGCACAAATTTTTCAAATTGAAATAAAGTGTCATGCGAAATTTTAGTGGTTCACCTTTACTCAGAGCTTTGGCTTTGATGCCAGTTAAAGATTCTTGGTTTTTAAATTGAGATGTAACTTTTTTGAGCTAATTTGGTCTTCTGTTGGGAAACAGTACATGGATATTAAAACTGATAGATTTTAATCCTGTGCTTCATGAACATAGAGAAACTGAGAACTCAGCTTGTCACTTACTCTGCTTGTTGCCCACTTTGAAAATTATGCTGAATTGTCTTTAAAAGTTAAAACAAAAATATCTGACTTCTAGTTTGTATGACCTTTCATATGTAATGGACCTGCTATAATTTTTTTTTAACATGCTCAGACACACCACTCATGAGGATTGTAACCTCCTCCTCCTTAATTTTCCTTTCACCTACAGGTTGCTGATTATACTGCTGAGTGTTGTACTATGAAGTCAGGGCATTAGTCTAAAGAGGCTCAGTATCTTTACAGATGGGTGGATGCTCTCTTTTGAATGCACTTCTGCTCACTGAAGATAATTTTGTTGCTGACTGCGTGTCTTTGCCACCTCCATGTCACCACTGGTATTATTTAGCCGTACCTTCCCTCTTTGCTCCCTGCAGAGCTCTGCTTGCCACAGGGATTGTGTGAATGTTCCTTAATCCATATTAGGCAGAGTCAGCCTGGCTAGTTCAGCAGCTGGTGAAGATAGCCTGAGCTAATCTGCGTGCTGGTGCCCAAACCGGAGAGCACTTCCATGACCTCTTCCACTGGCAGAGCTGTGGGAGACTCTTGTGGCCGAATTGGGGTGGTAACCTCTTTAGTCAGACCAGCTGTATGAAAGAACTTATATCTACCGCCTGTGTTATTTTATTTTGGAACCTGAGTGCCTGTCATGTTGCAGATAACATTAGCTATTGTTTTGAAGTTGACTTAGGCTGTTCTAGCCTGTGTTTGGAGAGCACGTTACATTGATGATACCACTGGCTTTTTCAGTGGTGAGAATGTCCAAGCAGGCTCTTATCTAAGGGGACTATTAAAAATTCCAGCTTTAGTGACAGGCCCTAAGGTATTTCCCCATGTTATTGTTGCTGAAATAAAAATGTTAGACTTCTGATCACAAATCGTAACCCTCAAAAAAACCTCCTTTCTAAGTGTGTTTAAGAGTTTTGATGCAGGCTACTGGAAAAAAAAAGTGACAGATATTTTAGCGTGTGCTTTTCAGAGGCATGCACTGTATGTCTAGAAAAATTACTCTTTAGGATCTGTTTCTACAGTATTTTGCATTATAAAGAGGACATTGTGCAGCTCATTGCAAAATCAGTAGCTTTAGTCTGTAATTTGCCCTGCCTTGTTTTGCAGGCTTTTTTCTTGATAGTGAATAGGTGAATTTAATTTGCTGTGGTGGAATGTTTTCCTCTTACATAATATCTACACGTGTAGTCATTTGACAA